GAGCTCTTTCTCTCCGTTCCCAGCACCTACCTGCTGCAGATCCGTTGCAACGTTTCCCGCTATCGAAAAGGAGTCCTGTTAAGAACAGTGATGGCTCACTCAATTGAAAACGATGCCAAATTAAATGTTTGGACACCTGGGGGCGGAACATGGGGAGGGGGGGTTCTTAAAGAAAGAGCGTCGCATGTTCAGTGCAGCAGAACAACTCTGTTGCACCACGATACTACCAGGTGGCTGATTCACGCCGCGCACTTTTGTACTATGCAACCCGCCCGCATGGCTCCATCCGGGACTGCATACCCATCAGGCGCAGGGGACCGGCTCCAAGCACCAACGCGTCGCTCCACCACTGTTGTTGCAGCCAACACCCAGGGGCGTTACCAGGGGATGTTCTCGGTCTCGCGCGAGTTCCCGCGAGTTCGCCAGGGGTAACCCGTGAGTCCGCGGGGGTAACATGCGGGTCCGCAGGGGTGACTCGCGGGTCCGCGGGGGTGACTCGCGGGTCCGCGGGGGTAGCTCGCGGTCCGCGGATCCTGCCACGGGGGTACCTCGCGGGCTGCGGGTTCAGTTAGCCATCCCCGTGGAACAGCGAGTTACCCCCGTGGAACCGCGAGTTACCCCCGCTGACTCACGGGTTATCCCCGGTGGACTCGCGGGAACTCGCGCGAGATCGCGAACAACCCCTAGTAATGCCCCTAGGCGTTGGCTCCAACAACAGTGGTGGAGCGACGCGTTGGCGCTTGGAGCCGGTCCCCTGCGCCTGATGGGTATGCAGTCCCGGATGGAGCCGTGCGGGCGGGTTGCATAGTACAAAAGTGCGCGGCGTGAATCAGCCACCTGGTACATCTACGTTTCCTGTCGCATTTATGAGACTTTTTTTCCTCTTTCCTTAAAAGTACTATTTACGGGTCTGCTGCAGGTGATGCGTGCGCCCCTGAGCCGACTAAGGTCCCCCGGATAAGAGGAACGGCAGGGAGCAAAGGCTTTGCCTGCCACCCTTCTGGGGCCAGCCGGACGGTGCGGATGAGGGGGGAGGGGGGCTTTACAAACTGCGGTAAAAATAGGAAATGTGTTCGAAGGAGGGAATAAAAGCACCTGTATGTTTCACGCATTTTGTTTGCATGTACGTGTGTGTATACATCTCTCTGCGTTTGTTCAAACAGGTGTAACCTGCGCTGCTGAGAACAGTGTAGTGACGCGTGTGTTATGCGGGCCAATGCGATGTCAACGGGAAATATCCGAATCACAGATTGCCCCGGTTATTGGCAAGAGCGACAGAATGGCGCGCGTATATAGAACCCTTTTGATTCCGTCGTGTGTTTGTTCGCTCTCGCTCTGTGATTTCCGCGCAAAGCGGATTTTCGTCCCGGTCAGCTGATTCGGCCCTCTGTCTGCTGCTCCCATTCATATGCTGTTCATGCCCTGGCTCTGGCTCGCGACACAATCGACACGAGCGAACTCACCCAGAGTGCACTCCTCCCCGATGCGCGTGAGGTTGAAGCACGCCTCCTTGTTGTGGTACGAGGTCTTGCACCAGCTGCAGCTCAGCGCCACGATCTCCTTGTTGCTGAACGACAGCTTGGACTGGAACGACTGGAAGCAAACGAGAGGCAAGATTGAAAAGGCGACATTATCGAAAACCAAGCCATCTGCGACATATATTAAGGCGTCGCGACACGTTGCCCTCGAGAAAAGAGCAACAGGTGCCGAGTGAGGGATAAAAGTGAGACTTTAGCGGACTATAAAAAAAAACACAAGGTAGTAAGAGGCAGATTCAATACGTCCAGCCCTCCCCCCCCCCCTTCCCCCACCCCCATCTTAGTTGATACAACTAAATCAGGACTGTATAAGGAACAACATTTAGTTCCTAGAACCGACTGAAATTTAGTTACCCCATCTTTAACTAAATATGGTCGCACCAATAACATTAAGTCAGCTAGACTAAATTATTTCATCACCACGGATAAATTTTGGTCTCCACAGCTAAAATTTAGTCAGTTTTGAATTTGGTTCTCTGACTGAACGGTCTTCTGGGTGAACAATCGAAATGGTTCTGTTTGCTGTTTTCGTTGTTGGAATAACTATAATAAATGTGCGTGTTGCCGCAACCATGTTTTGATAGTTATTTCTGGGCTACCATTGGATGGTTGCTATACAAGTGTTAGTTTATCTGTGTACGGGCCGGATGGTACCGTACCGGACGGTACCGTACCAGAGTGTGCGCGTTGTACGGCGGGCAGGATGTCTCGCTAAAGTGCTACTGAATAAGCCGGCGCCCCGCGGGAACGCCTTGAGCTGGGCGAGGCTTCGTCTTACGAACATGATACTCTCCCTATCTCTCTCTCTTTCTCTCTCGCTCCGCGACGCCTTTATTCTGCTCGCGGTAATTATAGTATGGCGGTAGGAGACAAATTTGTCCGCAACTGAGTGAGAAATAGCCGCCGCTAAAGAGCCGGTCCTGCTGCCTGCCGCGCGCAGGAGCGAGCTTGCCGTGGCACCACTCCCCTCTGGGGGGGATGAAGGAGAGAGAGAGAGAGAGAGAGAGAGAGAGAG